ATAGTTTCATACCTCTCACGGTTTTTTTGATCATTTGATCACTTAGTGGATTTGTTTAATATGGATCCACTCATATGATCAGTAGGTAATATTCAAGTACAACTTTACGTTTTCCTTCACAAGCTTTCTGATATGATTGATGTTGCTTGGCTATCACAATGCAAAGTCATCGATCCTTAAAGTATATTAGTAAATAAATGCATTTTATAAAATTCTTCATCCCTAAAATATTGATAAAATAGTATAATCATATTTCATGGATGATAATACAATTTAATAATACTTCTTAGAAGTCCATGCACATTTTAAGGGAACAACAAATCACTATTGATTTAAAATGTGTTCTATCACAAGCCAAATTAGCATTACTATTGCATTCCGAAATATAACTCATGCAATAATTCTGTAATCCATAGTTAAAAGAACATTCTAGATATATCAAAATATTACTTAGTTATTTCACATATCTGCATAACACAAGCAATAGTTTAAGATGTATATTTTCTCTCACCAAATTCTCAATTAAATTAATGCTAGAGTCAAAAGTGAATCATACTCCTTATGATTAAGATATTTAAATTTCCAAAAAACTTTTAAAACAATATTTTTGAAATAACGCTTAGCCCCCACTATACTCTTCATTTGACACCTAGTATTGTATCAATTTTATTGAACAAGTTGTAGTTCTGAATCGCTTCCAACCATTTCTGGTTATTCTCAATTCTAAAATATAAGCATGCCATTCAAATAAGACAATAATAATGACATGTCCACATGACATTTATTGTATGCATTCAACTATATTGTCATGCTTAAAGTAATAGAGTATCATTACATGATCTTGTTTTCATTTAGTTGTTTTGGTTCATGTTGTAGTTCAAGTAACATCAACTGAACCTGCAAGTAATTCATTTAATCTTCAGTATGTTTACAGTCAATGAAATACCATAAAAGGAAATCATTTAATAAGACACAAATAAGATCCACCTAACAAGATAATTTAGCCATGCATGTTTTAATAACAACTGTATATTTTATGTATCTTATTCAAAATCATATATATATTTAATTACTTTCTTTAATGAATACATTTGAATACCAACTGTATATTTGCATTTGAATATCAACGATCACTAGTTATATCAGTGACCATCACATTCCAATTCTGTCGATGGTAATTCATCATCATGATGAAATTCCTTTTGATGACAGAATTGATTTGACGCCAAAATGTCGCCAGGCCCACCGTATGTCTATCACATGAACCAGTTTTTTTCTCAACATGAACTAGTAACTCCATGCAAAATTCATAGGCAATGGTAGACCTAGTAAATTGATGTACTAATCTTCCCAAGTGAAAATTTGGGCAAATCCTGGTGTGGCCTCCTCGCATTGATGTAACCATGAATCAACCAAATGATCTTGGTATGACCCAAATTGGGCTTGGGATCATAATTTCCCAAATCTATTGAGTTTTTTATGCAAATCTGTGTTGATGAAATACTGATTGTGGCAATTACAGGAGGTTATTCCTATTCCTTTAGGAAATAAAGTGCATTTTTATTTTCTCTCTTCCTTTTCTCTATTATTTTCTCAGAGATCAAATAAGGTAGCTAATGTAAGTGGTGAAAAAATGCCCCTCACTACCTTAGTGGTTAGGTTTGAAACAAATGAACAAGAGACGTTGCGCTGCTCCCATTGCAAAATGAACAAACTACTTGAGACCAGGATGGGTTGGTCAAAAGCACTCTGATTTTTAAGTTAGTATAGGTTCAAAGCGTAGTCAAAGCTAATTGCAGGAAAATATAGTGCGTGCCTTTGAATTTAGTCTACCCGAGATTTATAGTGGTTTGTCCCTGCGTCTAGGGTTTCCCTCCCTTTGGTATGTGAGGTGGCACACCTTACATTTATCCGGATTGTTAGTGATAAATGGTAGGATCCTTTCCTGTTAATACTTTTATTCAGGCACGTGGATAAGGTTTATTCGTGATTTGTTCTTATCAATTGTAACATCCCATCTGATTTTTCAGGAAATAGGAATTTTCTCAATCATGGTACACTAAGCCAGCGTGAATCAGTCGAGCTAAATTGTATCAGGCGATTTTACAGCAGTTTGACTTATTCGACCGAACTCATCAGTTTGGTTCGGTGTTGTGTATGGTGATTATGCCGAACTCAGCTTTATTGTTCCAAGTGAGCATCACATTGATGCATGGTCAATCACGTGCCTACACTTATTTCAAATAATTACACGTCTAATCAAGCACGGTAACTCTGTGTCCCTTCACTTGCTCCCAGGGATTGTCTGCCACATGGCACATATTAGGCTGACGGTTCCTATACTTGATTTTGCTTCCATTGATTACTTATTTGATTTTTTTTTCCTTGCATATCTTCTCTTTTCCAGAAACAGATAATCACATTTAATGTTTCGTCCTTCGATTTTATGGCGTTGTTTCTTTGGCATTCTTTTGTCCCTTTTAAAGAGGTCTTATTTATTTATTTCATTACTTTCTCAGACTTTCATCTAAGGTCTTCTTGCTTTTTACCTGCTATGTCATCTTTTTTTCAATGGATCCCCTTACTTCAAACGAAGTCCCTGCTTTTAAGAGAAAATACTAGATTCTAGACGACGTCGAGGTTTAAGTTATCAATGTTGATGAACCTCTTATTGGCACTAGGGATTCTATCCTAGTATACACCCTAGCCATTATTGAGGGTGATGTGAGGTTTCCTCTACACCCACTCCTTCTATGGGTGCTCTCAACTCTAAAGTTATGCCCTATACAATGTTGCTCTAACTTCTTCAGAATAGTGGTGGGGCTTGCTACTCTAAAAAACCATCTAGAGGTGAACCTAGGACTTTGGGAACTTCTATACTACTACATCATCAAGACGGCTGGTGATAATTATTACTTTGAGGTGAGTAGGAAAGACCGCTACTTGATGACCCATATCCCTAATTCCAATAAGGGCTATGAAAACCAAGTCGTCTTCATTTCTAAGAATTGGGAATATAAGGCTTAGCGAGCTATTCCTAATTGTCGACTGAATTTCTAGCTAGCTGTTGAATCACTTCATTGTGAATTCACCCAGGTTGCTGGGGAACATTATGCATAACAATGCTTCATTCTTAATGTAGACCACCATTAGCTGTTTGTGCAGACAGATGTGCACAACTAGATCAGTTTTTCCATCATACAACTTAAAATTTAGGAGGTGAACTTACTTGGGACCCTTTTACTTTCTATCCATCTAGTGAAGTGGGAAAATTCCATCCCTACAATTTACTCTCCAATGGCTCTTCTTGCTAATTCCCTAGCAGATTTTTGCTCAAGTTGCTTCAACCTGTTGTTAAGTTCTTCAGTAACGAGGTGCTTCCAAGCGTCCTCTTGGTTTTTTGTGCGATATGATTTCCTTCTATTGTTCATCTCCTAGGAATATTCTTGACGCCTGGGTCTATTCCTTTTAGTTAAATAGCAAGGTCATTTCCTTTCTCTAAAGGAGCTTACTTATAAAGGGGGCCCTGATGCAGGTAGTCTTCGCGATTATACTATATTAAATAGCCTAGGGCGCAACTTAGACTTATTTGCCTCTTTCGTCGGCGGCCCAATCTCTCAGTCTTTTGGGACATCCCTTCCCCTAAATCTTTTTAACGCATCCTTTAGCACTTCATTTTCTCATTCTAATTATTTTTCCTTGTCGTATGACCTTTTGAGCATGGCATCGTGCACATCTAGTCGGTCCTAAAGAGATTGGACTAACTTCATAAATGAAGGAATTTCCCCCTCGGGACGATGGGATTTCTCTTGGTGTAGTCCTGCCTTTCATGTCTAATCTTCGGGGTTATACTTAGCAAATGAAAGATTATCACTGTCATTAGGATATTCCTCTTGGCTTCCAAAGGCAACCTTTCTGATATCACTGTCATAGGGGAATGACACCTTTTAAATTTTGATCCAGGTCATTCCCCACATCATTGTTCATCGGAGATCCTATTCTACTTCATAGTCTTGACACTATACTTTTTGTTCAATGTTTTTTGTAGACGGCGCCAATTGTAAGCGGTGAAAAAATACCCCCCCCCCCCCCCCAGGGGCACTGATTTAGTGGTTTGGTTTGGAACAAACAAACTACAGACGTTGCACCGCTCCCTTGAACAACAAATAAACTGCCTAAGATTGGTTTGGGTCAGTAGGAGACGTTCTGATACTTAAGTTAATATAGGTTTAAAGCATAGTCAGGGCTGATTATAGGGAAATGTAGTGAGTACCTTTGACTTTAACCTACCTAGGATTTATAGTGGTTTGTCCCTTCATCTAGGGTTTCCCTCCCTTTGGCAATGTGAGGTGGCACACCTTACATTTAGTCTGATTGTCAATGATAAATTATAGGATCCTTTCCTATCAATCCTTTTATTCGGGCACATGGATAATGTTTATTCGTGATTCGTTCTTATCAATTGTATTGCCTCTTATGATTCTTCAAGATAAAGTGATCTTCACAATTATGAGTACACTGAGCTAGTTTGAGTTGGCCGAACTGAATTGTATCAGGTGATTTTACAACAGTTTGACTTATCCAACCGACCTCATCAGTTCGGTTCGGTGTTGTGTATGGTGATTTCACCGAACTTGGCTTTATTATTCCGAGTGAGCATCACACTGACACGTGTCTTCTTCTTTTGCTTTTTCCACCCTAATGTAAAATTAGGACGAATATTTTTCACTTGATTCATTGAAAATTTCTGATACACGGAATGGAAGTCTTGGGGGAAATATATATATCATTGTAATATATGCAAGTAGAGAGCGTCTCAAGTCAACATCTTCTCCAGTAGGCCAATTGGTATATTGAAGCATCCTGGAACTTACAATGCAAAAAAATTTGGTTGTGATCTGACTATTACAGAGAGAAGAATCACCCTTCTGACCTTAAGTTCAAAAAACTTCTACCCGCGAGGAGGTGGAGGACCGTACAATGAATTAGCATAAGAGTCTTTAGAGCTTCAGCCTGAACTTGCAAGTACTGGCTTTGATGCTGATCAGATTATTAGCACTTAAACTATCAACTATCAACATGCAGCCGCCCAAAATCCTCACCTTCATCAGTTTTAGCTTCCCAAGTTTGATGCTAACTGGCACATCTACATTAAGATCTAATGGGATTCTTCCAGTTTGTTGTTGCTCCTGCAGGGCCGCCATCAGAGTACTTCCTGCTCGTGTTTGACCTGATAAGGCCACATTAATGAGTGTCGTGTTCTGGTGACCTTGATAGAACTTGGGTAGTGATCCATGGCATAGCTTAGTGCTCGAGTACCAGACACTCAGTTGACTTCCTTTCTCATAGTAGATTCCAATTTTTTTGTTCGGATTATTTGCAATGATCTTCACGTCAAATTTAGCGTAGAGGCTCATGTCGAAGTTGAGTTTGAAATTGGATATTCTAAGACTGTCGATTGAGTATTGGGGAAGCTTTGGTTTGAAAACAACATAGAGAATGGCTGCAGTAATTCCAATGATGATCAGTAGAAGGATGAGAAGGCTAATTGTCCAGCACATGCACTTGCAGCAACAGCTTCTCTTCTTGGGTGGATTTGAGTGGGCCACTGGAAAGGTACGTCTGAATGGTGGCTGATAAAGCACTTGCTCGCATTTTTCTGGCTTGTATGAGCCATGAGCCACCAAGGGCCGCGTTGGTGGTGCTTCCACTTCCACCACGGGATGAATTTTCTGATGATCGGCCATTATATTTGTGCGGATCTGAATGTTTCTGTGTGGTTTGCTCTCTCTCTCTCTCTGTGATAGTCTGAGCAGCGCTTCTCAATTCTTACAAGAAACACCGCTACTATATATAGATTCAATTGAGTTTTTTTCTTCTTTTTTTTTTTTTTACTAATTTTATTTACAGTAATACTACACTGACCAAAATTTAGTGGTCTATTTAGTGGTATAGTCCATTTAGTGGTATGATTTGTCTCTGTTGAAAATTTTGGGTAGGAAAGTTCTGACCTCCCTTACCTAATAACAATGTACAGATGCGAAGTAAGAGATTTAGGTTAGCTACTTGCATTCTCACTACAATGCATGTGTGCCAGCAAAAAAATTTGCTGCTTGTTGTAGTTAAACAACAAGATAACCACTAAAGTCAAAATTACTTCAAATTTAGGAATATGAATTTTCCGGGGACAGCTCGAAAGGAAATGTCTAATAACTTATACAGTATTCCAAGAGTATAATTTCAAGTCGTGGTTGACTCGATAGGTATGGGTTCTATGTGACCATTTGCATTTGGAGTTTTTATTGGACTTAATTTATTAATCTAATTTGTTGATTTAATTAGATTGATTGTGGATTCAATCAAATATTAAAACTTGGGTCCTTTTTTAGGTCGGTACACCTAATTAAACTTATTTAACAAAAAATACACATTAAATAATGTTTTAAAAAAAAATACACTACATGGATACAAAGACCTAAACACCCATTTTGATAAATATTTTTTTCCTTAAAAATGTAACGATGCACATATCATGACCGCTAAAATTTAGGCACAATTAATTCAAAATCTATTCATCTTCCTAAAAAATTGAAATCTATCTCTTTGTCTTCTAAAAAAAAAAAACAGTTGATTTGTATCTTCTTCCAAGGAAACCCATCTATCTTATTCCAAAGAAACGGCTGATCTTTTGCATATCCATCCTAAAAGAAACCGATTCATCTTCCTATGCAGTCGATTATCTCTGTATTCATCCAAAGGGTGTTGAATGAGCATTGTTCATCAACTCACGAAGGGATTCGGATTACATTACTAACGATTGAACAGAGTTTGATTAGAGTTTTAAAGAGGGTTTTTACGTCATTGTTACTCTGATCATTGCTCGTTCTTTGCATTGTGTTCGTCCATCGTTGTTTCCACTGTGTTCCTTGAGTTTGTTGATCTCTACAAGAGGTAATGTATGTATGTATATATATATATGTACATTACACCTTTTTTCTTGTTTATTTAATTGGGTATTATCATCATGGGTTACACTTTTTTTTTTGGTTTAAACTCATGTTTTGGAACCCTATTTTGTTTGTTTGAAGATTGAAAGACGAAAAATGTTCATAATTTTTTTTTTTGGTTTAAAACCGTTAAATTATGTAATTTTTATACCATAAGAGTGTTCATATTATAAAAAACCAATGAATTATTGGGTGTTGTAACCCTTTTTTTTTTCAATTGATTGAACATAGGTCCGAAATGGGTTGACTGAAACCAATCACCACACACCACAGTACATTATTTTTTGGGTATTATAATCATGGGTGACATTACACTTTTTTCCTTGTTTAAATTCATATATTGGAACCCCATTTTGTTTGTTTGAAGATTAAAAAACTCTTTAAAAAATCTTAGTTTTTTTTTGGTCAAAAGCTTGCAAATTATATATTTTTTATACCATAAGAGTGTTCATATTGTAAAAAACCAATGAATTGTTGGATGTTCTAAATTTAATAATATTTTATTTTTTCAATTGATGGAATACAGGTCTGAACTAGTATGTTTGTTTGAATAAATACATAAATTATGTTTTGTGTTGTGTTTTGTTACACATTTATAGCTACATTTTTTGTTATTACACTTGTTTCGATATACTTTTATGTTGTTATATTATTAAATTTACACTGAATCTTTTGTTTTATTTTAAAACATTTGTGTGTTGTGAATGTTAATTACCATTGTTGTTTATTGACACTGTTGTTTATTCTTTTTTTTTTTTTTTTTGTAATTATGAGTGATTACACCATGTGTAAATCCTAAAAATGGTGATTGTGTTAACATCACAATGTAATATACAAAGTGTAACATATAGAGGGTAACACATGAAAATGTCACAAAGTTACCAATATTGTGTAACAAACATACTAGTTTACCGACAAAGTGAAGAACAATAGACCATTGGATACGGAACTGTATATTATTTTTTACACTTTACACTCTCATTTAAGGTAACACTTTACACTTTTCATTAGGGAAGGTGGGACATAATGTAACACTTTAGACTTTCAATATTACACTTTACACTTTTAATGTTACACTTTACTTTTTATATTGTCATTGTATTACTATCTCATTGTAACATAGAAAAAGTGTAACACTATTACATCCTCACTTATTTGGTTATATTATGTTTTGTAGTTCACTTATTAGAATGTGTTATACACTGTTTTTGTTTCACTTTTGAATGTGTCATACACTGTTGTTTGGATCACTTATTTGGTTGTGTTATTCACTGTTATTTGGTTCACTTATTTAGCTGTGTTATACACTATTTTTTGGTTAATTATTTGTTTATACTGTTATATTTTCAGTTAACCTTTTGGTATACTTTATACAATTTGTTCTTTGTCACCACCCAACTCAAAGCTGTGATGGGGAAAAAATAAATGGTGGAATCGAAGCAAGATGCTAAATACAGATTGAATTTGCTTGCGATAATTAGAGCAATAGATGAAATTAACATTAGTGAAGCACACAATGTTCTTTTGCAGAAAACACCATTTTGGTTACTATTTGAATGCATTATTGATAAAAAAAAAATTAGATAGGGCATGGTGTAGAAAGAGCGATACTATCATATAGAATGTAATAATGTGCTTCGATGTTACTAAATTTAAATTTCACATTGGTGGGGAGGACATTAAATTGAGAAGGAGTGATGTGAAAATAATTTTTGACATTGATGATGGATGCAATCCCATGGATTCATTATCTCATGCTAAAGAAAATATAAAATTTGTTAAAAAGAGATTCAAGAAAGATAGCAGGTTGACATCAACCTTGATAAAGAGTAGATTGGTTGAAGCAGCAGGTGGTATATCAAAACACGACGTTGATGACGTTGCAAGACTCCTATGTCTATTCTTGATGATGACACTATTTTTCACACACACTGGGACATCTATAGGATAAGGATTTGTTTCATACGTTGAGAATATAAATGTCATTACTAAGTGCAATACATGAATCTCTTATGTCTTCACTTCAGAGAAAGAGTAGCAACCCTTCTGGAGTTACTAGATGCATAATGTTGTTACTAGTAAGATGTTAAAAGCCCCATTCCATTTCCAATATTTTTTTTCGTTGTTCAATAAATTAATGTAACTCGTTTGCTTTTATTAAATATGTATGTGTGTGCAGTATTGGCTTTGTGAACATACAACAATTGTCAAGACTAACATGCCACATGCAATACCAAGGATTCTGAAATGGAATCTGCCGAGTCTTCAAAGAGCCATGAAACAAAGTACACTTGCAAAGTTGAAGTCAAAATATGTAAGTTGGTTAAAAATAATGAATTTAATTTAATATGTCCATGTTACATAATTTTTAAATCTTTTTATGTTAATAACATATAAAACACTTGCCTCAGAAAACAATGTTTTGATACACTTCCATGTTACAATTTTGTTAATTAATGCATACAATTGTCTATTTTTAAAATATTGCAAAGGTGTTGAGACATAGATTGCGTAGAATAGCAGAGGAGAAAATTTTTCTAAAATATAAGGGAAGCAAAGAAAAAGAAGGGGGCCAATCTAAATTTGAGGGAAAGACAGAAAGTGGTAAAGTTGAAAAAACACATGGCCAGGTGCATGAAGAAGCATTTAAGTGCGGTGGGAATGATGAAGGAGGACATGATACATTTCTTGGCGATGACAAAGATATGCTGGATGTCATTGGCGGTGATAGAGATTCAAATCTGGCATTTGAATCTCTTATTGATGCTGTTATGAATGAAGCCACTCACAATATTGATGTTCCAGTACAAGATGACATTGATGTAGGAAGAGAAGAAGAACACAGAAACAGACAAAGGCTACAAGAGATAATGAAGGGAAATGATGTCTTGAAAATTGTTATTAGGACCATAGGCACAGATAAATGTTACTTGGATCATTCACATTTTGGTTCTGGTGGTGATGAGTTTCACAAACAACAATTTACATTCTCCTTGAAAAGGCAAGAAAATGATACAATAATAAAGGAGTTGAATGAAGTTGTTGAAAATATGAAAAAGAGGGAACAAATGTTTCAAGTAGAAATACAAGACTGCAAGGAAACGATAAAAAATTGAGAGAATTAGAACGCTGAGTTGATTGATCAACTTAATGAATTATCATTCCATCTTATAACTCAGAAATATCAGGAAGAAAACATTGTAGCTAAAGATCACAGGAAAAAGAAAATAATAGGACAAACATCAATGGTCAAAAACATCAAGAAAAGAGAGAGAAAAAGGAAGAGAGATACAGAATTCGAATACAGTGGAACAAAAAGGAAAAAAATCAGATAATGACATAAGGACCGATTTTTCATAAGACCGATTTGAGTGAAGACAAATGTGGGAGAACAATTGAGATTCTTGATGATGATGATAGCAAGGAAAGGATAACTACTATTCAAGGGCTGACAGACAAAGACATAAAAAAAATGTAGCAGGAGTGTGAAGCATTGGACACCATTGATTTCAACAAATTGAAGATAATATATGACTTAGAGGCTTACGGGTATGTGTCACTATCCAATAAAAAAAGTGTTCCTTAAAAAATTATGGTTATTACCTACTTCGTTATATGACAACTTTGCTTCTAATTTTTATCATATTGTAGTGCCCAAATATGGTCTGGGGTTGGAGTTGGAAGCGTAATACATGTGGAGGATGCATTGAAAATAATGTCAATTTCATGCAAAATATACA